CTCCTTAAACGGTAATGTTGAATAGAAAAATCACACTATACCAGGAACAAATGTAATGCCTACAGACCGTTTTAACTAATGACATCTGATGAATACTGGTGATTTAACCAATGGAAAATATTTCCTACTTTTACCAGGTGTCGAGTATGCTAGAATGTTACTACGAAAACTAGACAAGCTGCAGATACGGAAAAATGGAATCCACGCATTTCCATAGAGAAATCAATTACCTTTGGTGGAATGCAGTCTTGTAGCAGTGCGCCTTCTAGTTCCAGTTGTTCGAATTGAACGAGAGTGATGCCAGCCTGGCGTGTCTGGGCAAGCGTCTCTTCGTCTGCCTGATCTACCATGACAATATAGCGTAGCCAAGAGGCGCCTTGGTTGCTTCTTAGAATCACCTGTGCTTTCTGCGGGTTATCGACGATAATCAACTGAATCTGGGCTAAAGCGAAATTCGTTGATTATCGGCGTTATGAAGACAAGAGCATATGGACTGCTTTACCTTGATTAATGATAAATGAACATGCATCTGGGCCGAGGGTGTCATAAAGCGGCACGACCACCATCGAATATGTGTAGCAAGCCTGTTCGGCGATGATCCACTGAAATTGTTAGTGCATGATTATATTAATCAACATTCACTTTACACCAAAAGAAAGTGACCACTGGCCACCAGTTCCCATTCCGTTTTACCTCTGGCCTATTGTGACAGTAGACGCCGATCAAGCTTTCTTGACCCGGCTGCATGCCCAACCGCAGAAAACCTTTGGCTAAATTGGTAGCTCTTCGAATGACGTCATTGTACCGTATCCACACATACGGCCGTGACCCGTTGGGCTGCTGCTTCCGGTAGCCTGTGCATCGTCCATTGTTTGATACTTTCGCCCCCCTTCTGAACGAATCATACAACGTCTTGACATCCGACACGTAAGAATTGATCAGTCTGCCGTCTTTACAAAACGCCGAAGCTCGTTCCCGGTCTTCACCCTGCATTGAAACATGGATTAACATAAGTAAAGAATTTGCGAAATTTTATTAATTTGTGCCAATTTGTTAAGGTTTAAAGATTAAGCGTAATAAAAGTAGATAAATTCAGTTTTACATAAATGGCGTATTACTTTCAGGGAAAGTTTAATGCAGATCTAAGCAAGGATGCATTTAAATTACAGCCCACAATTTTTTATTGTATTTAACGTAATTCGTTTACCGCATAATCACTTTAGCACGAAATCATTAGTGTGAGATTAGCTACTAAGGCTTGAACAAGAAGGCAATGACCTTGGATCTAAAAGTGATCAATCTCTGATACGAAAAAACTACTATACTGTAAGAGGGACAGTTATAGACCCACACTGCACCCAAGACCGGGTTTAGTCAGTCAGTGGAGAGCTTAACTAAGAAATGAGAGCCTGCATGTTCGAGTCCTTGTTGGGTCACTTTCCTTTCT